AAAATTGGAATCCTCCCATCCTGTCTCTGCTGGTCCTTGCCCCCTTCTTGTTGGGATGGCAGGGGCTGGAAGGAGCTGCGTTAGGCCTGGGATACACTGCAGCATGCCTCTCCCTGTCCCATTTCCCACGGTCATTTCAGAAAACATTCAGAGATTCCAGGAGGTGGTTGAGAAGGAGAGGACAGGGTCAGGCACGGTTGTTCCTTGGATCTTGGCCGGATGTGGAGCTGCCCTCATTGGGAAGGGAGCAGAGAGGCCAGGAGGGGGGCTGGTGGAAAATAGAAGCCTCACCAGAGGAAGGTTTAAATTCTCACTCCCTGAAAGAGGATACCTCAGGGGTGCATTGAGTTGGTGCTTTATGTGCAGGGACAGCTGGGACCCCAACACTGCGTTGCCCAGAGACCCAGCCCAGGCGTGCCTGCCCCTCCGGTCACTACTGAGACAAGGTACACAAACAACAGGCCTCGGGCACCAGACACCCCTCTGGAGGGCAGGAGGCTGCTTCCTCTAGCAACTGCTCTGTTGATATAAACACGAGGTGTCCAGGGCTTTGAGCAGCCTTGGCCAGTGAAGAAGGGAGGGGGCCAAGGGTCTCCCAGAGTCTGAGGCTGGGATTGGAGAAGGCACCAGAATCACAGGGCAGGGCAGGGTTTACAGTCTTCTGTACAGGACACAATCCTTGCCTTGCCATGTGGGACACGCCACCCTGGGTAAAATGGTGACTCCCGGGACTTTAGTCCTGGTCACCATGGTTTCCATTCCAGTAGCTACTCCTGGCACCACCCAGCTACTGCGGCTGGCACTTTCAGTCTTTGAAGAAAGTGATCTAATAAGGATCATGGACATTAAGGTGACTAATAGTATTCCTTTTTGGCACGGTGGCTCAAGCCTGTAATCCCAGCACTTTGGGAGGCTGAGACGGGCGGATCACGAGGTCAGGAGATCGAGACCATCCTGGCTAACACGGTGAAACCCCGTCTCTACTAAAAAAATAAAAAAAACTAGCCGGGCGAGGTGGCGGGCGCCTGTAGTCCCAGCTACTTGGGAGGCTGAGGCAGGAGAATGGCGTAAACCTGGGAGGCGGAGTTTGCAGTGAGCTGAGATCCGGCCACTGCACTCCAGCCTGGGCGACAGAGCGAGACTCAAAAAAAACAAAACAAAACAAAAAAAAAACAGACAGAGGGAGACCCAAAAAAAAACAGAGCGAAAAAAAAAAAAAAAAAACAAAAAAAAAAAAACAGTATTCCTCTTTGAAGGGGTGTTTGCAAGGCCAAAGAACCTACTGGGAGGAAGTGACAAACTACAGTCAGCTTTTGAGAGGAGAATTTCCGCCCTTAAGATGAGAAATGTGTTGGAGTAGGTGCAAGTGGAAGAGCTAGGGGGATTTTCTGGTGCTTCTCTTAGCAGATAATCTCTGTGTGGGCCGTGGGACCCTGGAAAGGGATAAATGAGGCCCTGATGAATATGACCGAGGCCCTGGTATGACCAGGGATAGCTTCCCCTGGCTTCCATATCAGAAGAAGAGCCTAAATGTATGGCGTGTCCTCGACTTTGTAGGGGTGGGGGGAGAAGGAGTCTGGGAGGTGGGCAAATGTTTTGGTGGGCTCTACCTGAGGATAGAAGAGGCAGGTGGAGATCTGAGGAAGTTCTCAGCAAAGTTGGGCTTTGGACTGAGTACTTTGTGAGCTGCTGATGAGAATCAGCGGTAAAATCCTTAAAAGGATTGTGTGCTTGTGTTCTGGAACTACAAGAAAGGGGACCTCTGGGAAGACTCTGAAACTGGGCTTGGGGTGCAGGGGAACCCCAAGAGAGAGAGCAGATGGTGGCCGTTCACAAAAGAAAAGAGACTTTGGAGCCCTGGCCCAGGACTGACAACATTCAGGGGCCTCCAGGCTTCTCCTACGCAGCAGCTCTACCTGCCTGTAGGTAGGAGGGGCCAGAGATGTGCAGAATAAATACATCCTGCACTCTGCCCCGTTCCTAGCCCAGCTGACCAACCTTTGTCCACTGGGCATACACCTACTAGTCTGCCATCTCACCTAGCCCCTCTATGTCTCCATTCTGCAGAAATTGGCAAAGTGAGGAAGAGTGAAGGAAGAGTGAAGGTTTAGAGGAGGAAAGGATGGACTAGGATACAAAAGAATGAGATATGACACCTCCTGGGTCTGCTGTTTTACCTAGTACCTCTGCAGCCACTGGATGGGAGATCTGCAGAGCCTTATGATCTTGTCTCTCTCCGACTCACCAAATCAGAGGCAAATGGAAAAATACTGCCTCAGAACAAAAATGTGCACACAATCTGAATGGTGGAATCCTGGGACACACTTGCAAAGAGAAGAGGCAGCTCCAAGTCTAGGCACAGCTCTTAAGTAACAAGAGGGCCAAAGGCAGGTGTCCACTAGGCGGGGCTCTGAACTGGGAAGTGGGTAAGGGGAAAGACAAGAGTCCCAGGAAGGTTGGGAGACTGTGGGATTAGAGGCTCCCTTTACCCAGGAACCAAGGAACTGGGGCAGAGGGGGATTTTAAGGACAACTCTGGAGTCAGAGGATAAGAGTTTGGAGTTGGGATTCTGCCCTTTCATGCTGAGTTTCTGCACATGGCCAAAAATCTCTTTAGCTTGGCTCATGCTGTATCAGGCAGTCATGCCAGCCCAGGGCTTGGGACACTGCCCAAATTAAGCTTTCTTCTAGGGCTAAGTCCAAAGCTAGAGGCATGGGTTAGTGGTTTCAGCTTGCCTTGGGGAGGTCAAAGTAATACCATAGGCATCATACATCTTCATGGAGGTTCCACCTAACTTCTAGAATTAGCTGGTAATGAATAAAATTGGTAGCAAATATTATAATGCATATATTATTATGAGATGATAGTAATGGTAATGGAAGATAAAGTCTGGAGTACCCACTTGCCAAGATCACACAATGGTAGTAGAGCTGGGGTAAGAACCCATGTATTGTGGGTTCCTAGCCTCTCCTCTGTCAATCAGTATTTATAGTTAAAAGTTGCACCAGGTTACCAGTTAAGAGAGAACAGAGTCAGTATCCAACCCCAGGTTGGTCTGACTCCACGAACAGAACTGCAAATCACCATGCCCTATTGCTCTCACTCCCCAAGATGATCTGATTTCATGGGTCTGGAGTCCCAACAAGTGTCTCAGGAGGTCTCTGGGGGCACATTTTGAGAAGCAGTGTCCTGCAGCAACGGGTCTCAGTTTGGTTGCACATTAGAACCAGGAGTTTCCAAAATGATTTAAGCCTTTCCGTTCTTTTTTCAGTTGTTCCAGAGTAGGGTTGGGGGTAGGGGTGGCGGGAGGGTGCTGGTCAGCATTTGTTTTTGAAGTATGACAATGTGTTCATGTATTCATTAAATTAATCAACAAATAAAAACGTACAAGCACCTACTCTGTGCTCTGCCCTGCCGTGGGGCTGGAGATACAAAGGTGGGTGGGACACTGTGTCCTGGGGTGCCTGTGACCTGACCCACTGGGCTGAGCATGCCCTTGGTGGAGGAGGGGAGGCTGCAGACTCCCTCTCTTGGGTGAGCTCTGGAAAGAGCCACTCCCCTTCTCAAATTATGCTGCCCTGCTGGCTTCTCACCTGAGAGCACACAGTTTGTTTCAGCTCTAAAACTCAGCTCACGAAACCTCAGATTGTCAAGGCTAAACGGGTCCTGATAAATGATCTGTGCCCAAAGCACTCAAACTAGCTAGCAGCTGACAGGAGTGCTCAGGAGGTTTTAAATCTAAAGATGCCAAGAGCCCACCCACAACATTCTCATTTATGGGTCTTGAGTGGGGTCTGAGGAATATGCATTTTTTAAAAAGCTCCAAACAGCTGTGGTTCTCAGCCTTGGCTGCACCTGAGGAGGTTTTGGGACGTTTTAAAATGTTGATGCTCAGGCCTCCTCCCTGGAGAGGCTGATGAGGATTTTTAAACAGTGCTGGTGATCCCATCATGCAGCAGGTGGAGACCCCCTACTGCAAGGAGTCTGGGTCTTCCAGTTGACCTTGTTAAGATTTGAGGAGGCATACTCAGGGGCAGTCACTCCTTGCCACCATCAGGGCTTTGAAACAAGGACAGAAGAAAATCAGAGAAGGGAGGAGACAAAAATTAAAAAGCCACTAAGAAGGTTTAGAAAAAGAGAAGCAAGATAGAAGGCTGAATAAGAAACTCCTATGAATTCACCTGTCAGCACTCTGAGGCTTAATCTCTTTTTTTTCAATGTTCTTTGCCTTATTCTAATAGTGATTAATTGATGTAAAATAAGAAAAGCATAGGAATGTATGAAAGCAAAAAAGAGGGTCATAATCTTATTTATCAGAGATGCATCACATATATATCATACAACCATAGTATATGTTATAAGGGGATACTGCATCATAAATCTGATATATAAATTAATGTATAATATATACTATATAACCTTAACATGTATAATTAGTACCCCCACTTTTTTTTGAGATGGAATCTCACTCTGTCACCCAGGCTGGAGTGCATTGGCTCACTGCAACCTCCGCTTCCCCGGGTTCAAGTGAATCTCCTGCCTCAGCCTCCTGAGTAGCTGGGACTACAGGTGCGCACCACTGTGCCCAGCTAATTTTTGTGTTTTTAGAGACAGGGTTTTACCATGTTGGCCAGGCTGGTCTCGAACTTCTGGTCTCGTGATCCACCTGCCTTGGCCTCCCAAAGTACTGGGATTACGGGCATGAGCCACAGCGTCTGGCCCCCTAGTACCCTTTTTATAAAGTGTATTTTTCTGTTTTGGCTTTTTTGTCAGTTTAAAAGCCTTTTGTTTTTCAGGCAATTAAACATCTGAGTGCTAAATCTTTATGTCAGGTGGGGAAGCATGTGAGTGGAGGTGAGCTGGTGTGCCCACCCCTCCCCCATGGGCCTTCACACATTCATTCACGCACACACACTCACACACAGGTCCAGAAGCTTCCATCCCACTCTGCCGCCCTAGGCATCATATTATGCATTCAAATACACACTTCACATCATACCTTCAGAGTTACTAATAGGATTTTATTATTTAAGTGTGAAATCGTTTTCCCCCCTCTTTCCCATTTCTTTGATTTCTAAGGAAAAACGGCACCAGGGAACCCAGGAGCGTGGTCTCATTGGGGTGAACCCTAGCTCCATAGCCCTGCTTGCAGACTCTTCCTCCCCACCCTGGCCGTCCCTCCTCTCCCGTGCCCTAGGGCCTCAGTCGCTCTTCTCCGTGGGTTGAGGCTGGTGCACTGGACAAAGGCTATCCCTCCACAGGTGGTAGGTGAGGGCTGAAGTCACGGTGAGCCAGGCTAGGTAGGGCAGCAGTAGCAGGGCAGCCAGTTTGTTGATCGGATGCCAAATCAGTGCTGTGCTCACCACCAGCCCATACAGCAGCAGCAGGTGCAGCAGGGCCTGGGCACAGGGGCCGGGGGTCAGCTGGCCGCCCAAGAACCAGCCCCTCCACCTTTCTGCAGTACCCAGCCCAGCCACAAGCTAAGTCCCTGGGGCTCTGTGCATACTATGGAAGTGCAGAGAAGTCTGCCCATCCATTACCTGCCTGCACTCAATTGCTCTGCCAAATTATGTGCTTCTGGGGCCAGGTGGTTTCACCCTCTCCCACATTACTTCTGCTACTGATCCCCGTGTGCCTTACCAGACCAGGGTTGTGGACCGTGAAAAAGAGAACCAGGACAGCCCAGCTGATGGTGAGCTGAACAGCATAGAGGCCGAGAGGCAGGGCCAGGGGCCACCCCAAGCCCCCTCCCAGGGCCTTCCACACCAGGTAGGAGGCATAGCTGTGGAGAGATGGTGGCAAAATCATTCAATGGGAAGTTCCATGGTGAATGGAGGAGGCTCTCTGGCATAAGGACTCTCGGATACCCTTGTGGGCTGAAATGGGGGCGAATGGGTCTAGCCATCATTTAAAGGCCAGGGAGGGAGTTGGTGGGAGGAGCTGAGCACGGCGAGGTTGGGGAGGGGCTGGGAGACTTAGAGAGGGTGGAAGAAGGGCTAACTGGAACCCCAGGAAGGCATAGAGGATTTCTTACTTTCTGGAGGACCCACCATAAGAGGCAAGCCAAAGTGCCTGCCTTTGGAGGCCAATATATGGGAGTAATTCAGATACAGGGGACTTGTTCCCACCCCACTGGGTACCAGGGCCATGTGTGAGAAACAAGTACTCACCCCACGACAGAGTAGATGGCTGTCTGTACAAGCAATACGACTTTGTGGAGTGGGCACCAGGACAGCATCCTCGGGCCCTCACACCAACCAGCCATGTGATCACGAGTGAACAGCCAGACCAGGATGGGCCCCAGGTGGGGCAGGAGCACAAAGATGGCCCCTTGAAGCTGCATTCACCTTGAGGAGGCAAAATCTGGGGAAGCAGAGAACACGCTAGTGATGAGCCTTCCCCTGCGGCTCCTCGTCTGTCTCTGCCTCCTAACCTGACTCATTTCCTGGCCTGAGCCCCTCAGAGGAGGTCTAGTCATGGAGGTCCTTCCTCTCTCCCTGGCCCAGCTCCAGTCCTGTACCTCTGAGCTCTCTCCAACCCCAGGCCCCACATTGCCCATCTCCTGGCTTCCATGGACTTCTTTTCTCCACAGCATTCCTCTGGCACTTGGAGGACACTGACCAGCACTGGTAACTGCTTCTGAGTGAAAGACCTTCCTCCAAGTGCTTCTGACTCCTGGAGATAAGGTCCCGGGTGACCAGCTTTTCTGCCTCCCACAGTGGGCAGCACTTAGCCAGGTGTGTAGCTGGCCCTCATTGAGAACTGTTCTACCTAAGCTGATCTATCAACCTGGAAAGATCACAATCTGAAGGCAGGAGCCAGAGATTTCTGGGGGCTCTTTTCTAGTCACAAATACGGCAGCCCATCTGTCCCAGGCTTATCTCACCATATTAGACTGGCACACTCATGGGGCACACCCAGGCTTATCTCCTGCCCAAATTCAAACTTGGCCTGTTGACACTGTGGATTCCTTTTTCTGAACCTTTAGCTCTCTTCTACCCCTGGATCCAGGGGGAATGAGCTTCCTGCTCCATCTTTCCATTCCCAGAGTGTCAGGATGTAAGCACAAGTGTTCAGGTTTCTTGTGGCCTGACTTTTCAAGGAAACAACTGCCTGGTCTTTGATTAAAAAGCTGCCATGCTGATTGGCATGTTGCTTTGCATGTCATTTGCATGTGGGACAATGTACAGACCTTCCTACAACCAAGGCCCCTTTTGACACAGAGTTTCATTCTTGTTGCCCAGGCTGGAGTGCAATGGTGCAATCTCGGTTCACTGCAACCTCCACCTCCCAAGTTCAAATGATTCTCCTGTCTCAGCCTCCCTAGTAGCTGGGATTACAGGCGTGCATCACCATGCCTGGCTAATTTTGTATTTTTAGTAGAGACGGGGTTTTGCCGTGTTGGTCAGGCTGGTCTTGAACTCCTGACCTCAGGTGATCTACCCACTTTGGACTCCCAAAGTGCTGGGATTACAGGCGTGAGCCACTGTGCCCGGCCCTAATCCATCCTTTTCTGTCATGGGTCAAGGACACTGGTCCTGGAGGATCTGGGACACAGCTGAGCAGCGTGCCCACCTGTGCATATTTCTACTTGTCTTTCTTTGCTCCTCACTGTCCACTTGCTCATCTTCTGCCTTCCTGTTTTTCTACATTTCTGTCCAGTGGTGGAGGCCCCCTTCCTGCCCCTCCTTGCCCCCATCCTCTTTTCTCCTGACACCTGCCTCTCCCAGTACCTCCTCGTTCCCAGGCCTGTGCTCCCCTTACCTCTGGCAGCACACCTTCCTGGTGGGGGGCCTGATGACATATGATGTGTGGAAGGCAGAGGAGGGTGGGGCTGGGAAGAGGGTGGGGCTGGGAGGAGGGTGGAGTGGTGCTCCCAGCTGGTCTGCTTTTCTCAGATGAGAATGGTGGTGACACTGGCTGGGAAGTCCAAGTTGCTGTTTCATGGCCCCAAAGAATTCCTCTCAGGAGGAGCCCCCCCGGCCTACTAGACCCTCCTTGGTGCCTGGCCTCTGGAGGCTACCCCTTGATGGAATGTTTGAGAGTTTGTGGTAAGGGTTTGACACTGAGAGACCTAGCCCTACTGTGACAGCCCAGCCCCCAGTTATAATGCTATTGATGCCTGTGGTCTCTGCATCCCATGAAGCAGTTCTGTGGCCATGGGAGTGAGTGGTATGAGCCTTCAGATTTCTCCAGGAGCCTCCTTATAATTGGGATTGTCCCCAAGAGTGGCAAGCACCAGCTTTGGAAGTGAGTTCATAATCCATGAACACAGCCCCTGGTTATAGCCTCCTGGTTGGCATGACCTTCCTGGCTTAGAACCCTAGCTCGACAGATCTTTCACAAACCCCTAGGACTTTATGACTCAGAGGAGAAGGCAGCTGACAAGTGGAGGTGGGTGGGGAGTCAGGGAGGAGTGACCTGGCGCCCTGGCAGAAAGTCCTGCCTCCCAACCTCCCTAAAGAGGGGTAGGGAAGAGTGTCCCTATCTGTTGGCAAAGTCCAGCCTCCTGTGTGACTCAAACAGAGCTTTGTTAAAGACAAACACCCCTACCCCACTCCCTTCGTTCCCTCTCAAAGTTCTGAGCAACCCTTCCTGGCTTGTCTTTAGGCATGAGGTCTGCTTCCCAGGTTGCCTGCCCTCTACCCATTCCTTTGATACATGTCTGCACTTTGGGGTACTGGGCTCCTGTGGGAGGTTTATTCCACCCTCTCACCTCCACCAGGGAAGGAAGCAGAGGGGAGGGGATTGCAGTCAGAGACAAGAGGCTAGAGAATTATTAACTGAGACAAAAGCAGAGGAAGTTACTTATTTTCTATGGGAGATGATAACTAGTGGCCTGGGGGCGTTCACCACAGCCTCCTCAACTGCAGGAGGCCAGACCCCGGTGATAACAGTTACCATCTATTTACCATCCATTCATTGGTGGGCATTTTACATTTATTAGCTCAAAAATGACAATTATTATCTCACACAAGGTAGATATTCTTATCTGCATTTGACAGACAAGAGAATTGAGGCTCAGAGGACTTAAGTAGCTTGCCCAATATTACATAGCCAACGTGTGGCTCACCTGGGCTCAGTATCGGTCACTTGGATCCAAAATGCATCCTCTTCCCTCTCAACTTCTTCACTCATTCATTCAAGACATCTTTATTGAACACCTTCTATCTATCAGGCTGTACCAGGAGCTGAGGAGACAGCAGAAAACATGGGAAAAGTTCCTGTCCACAAGGAGTTTTCATTCTGTAGTGCCATCGCTCCTAGGCAGAGTTTCTAAGAACTCAGAATGGCAAATGGCCCCAAAGTTCAGCCGTCTCCCAAGCGGTAGTGTTTCTGCCAACTTTGGGTGGGGGAAGTAGAAAGCACCTGGTGTAAGGAACAGATATGGGTACATCTCAGGTACACCAGCAACTGATGAGTCATTTATCCTCTCAGTGCCTCCATTGTCTTCTCTGTGCAGGGAGCGGCGGAACTAGATGCTCTCTAAGCTCCCTGGACCGGTTGCATTGGCATCATCTGGGAGCTTCTTTGAGCTGCAGAATCTCAGGCCCCACACTAGACCGACAGATTCAGAACCTTCATTTTAACAAGATCTCCCAGGTGACTGCGGTGCACATTATAGTTTCAGAAACTCAGATGGTTCCCTCCTCCTCCTGTCTGCCATTTTAATTTAATAATAGCCTCTGGCTGGGGACAGCCACTCACCAGCAGAGGGCACTGTAGGGAGGGGTTTCAAGGTGCAGCACCTACACCCAGGTTGTCTCACTCCTTCCCTCCTTCCTTGCAAACCTAGACTGGCAAGTTCACTGACTTCTGGGATCCTCAGCTACTCCCTTACCTGGGCTGGACTTTGCCAATAGAGAGGGACATTCTCCCTCACCCCTCTTTAGGGCAGCTGGGAGGCAGGACTCTGCCAGGAAATGCCAGGCCACTCCTGCCTGGATTCCCCGCCCACCTCCAGTTGTCTGCTGGCCTGTCGACTGGGTCTGGCTGATCCATTTCTCAGAGAAGGAATTGGACCAGCCAGCAGCCTCTAAGAGCACCTAGACGGTAAGGTGAGCACCCCCTTGGGGCAGCTGGAGAGGGGATGGGCATTGCGATGGGGTTACCTGGGGCTCCAGGGAGGAGCCAGGCCAGCTCAACCTGCCTGCTGGAGTGTAGGGACCCTCTGCTGGAGGAGGGGAGGAAAATGGGACTTGGCCAATGGGTATGAGGACCACTGGGATGATCTGTGTCCTACGGAAATGTCTACTATACTAACAAATGCTGTTCATGACTTGTGTTGGGACCATCCATCCCAGTACTTGTTATGTTCTGCAGTAACTGGACATCTATCAGGCATTGGGGAGGCACAGGGAGAACCAGTGAAGTGGAGGAAGGGTTGAGAGTTTTCTTAAAGGGTGTGAGCAGAACTTTGCAGCAGGAGTTTGGATCTTTGTGCTGGAGGATGCAACTGCCTAGGGACAGGTGATGGCAGCATTCTAAAGAACTCTTGTTTCGGGGACCCGCTATCCAGGGTGATCTGGGGTCTGGGGCAAGAGAAACTGGAGGAGTGGGTAATGAGGAGTCCAGCATGGGGTTGGGAAGCTCCAAGTCACACTCGAATGGCTGCAGTGCTATAGATGCCATTCAACCAGACTCGGGACCTTTCCCCATTCTGGGGCCACAGGGAGGATGGAGTGAGGGCCAGGGCAGCCTGGAAGAGCTGTCAGCCTGGGAGACCTGGGGCTGGCCCAGGAGGAGTTATCCTGCTTCAGGCCAGGTAAAGGAGGGAGCTCCCATGAGAGGCCTAGTGGGGCTTTGGGAGTGGTGCGTGCCAACTTCTCCAGGGTCAGAGGTTGAGCCATCTGCTGCACCACCCAATGAGGTGCACCTCACTGGGGATCTGGACTCTGGTCTTTGGTGGCCCCAGGCAGGTTACTGCTGTGTAACCGAGGTGGGGCCCCTCCTTTCATCCCTTTAGCTATTCCATCCCCTGCCACTGGTGCCTTGGTGGATGGGGATGTGGTGTGATGGGGTGGGTATTACCACAGAACTGAGGATGTATCTTTAGGTCCTTCTATTTGTTTTTCCTTCACTTTTGCTTCTTTCTCTTCCAACTTTCTTTCTTCTGGAGAAGGAAAGGAAGATACTTGGGGAAAAAGAAGGGGTGGAGAGAGAAAGGGGGTGTCTCTGGAAGGGTGTTCATCTTCGCTCCTCCTTCCTGCCTGTCTTCAGTTGTTTAGTAATTCCCTGTCCATCCTCACTGTGGGGAGAAAGCTCGGATTCCTTATCTGTGAAATGGGGATAAAAATAACACCTCGCTCCTAAGGCTCCTGTGAGGATGAGATGAGACAAGCCGTGGAGAGAGCTTTAACACAGTGGCATGGAGTAAAGCTCTGCCAATGTTAGCTATTGTTATTACAGTTGGAATTATAATTATTACTAATGTGAAAGAACCAAAAGGAATAATGGGACATCAAGGGTAGCCTGCTGCTCCAACCCCCTTCTCATCAGCTTTGGGGCACTGCCAATTTACCTGGTTCACCTGTGTGCC